TACTAAACACGCGTTTCACAACCGCCTGTGGGGCATCGGACGAGCTCGATGGCGGTGGAAGTGGCCCTATCGAGCTACCTGGAGGTGGTGGTGGGGCATCCGACGACCTCGAAGGAGGTGGAAGTGGGGCATCCGGCTCGATCAATCTGACAATATCATTTAGGGTCCCCCACATGACCGTATGAGCGTCTGATGGCGCAAGTCCCCGCACCTCGCTAAGTGTACCCTTTACCAACTCCAAAATTTGTGAAAGTTGGACCTCCTTATCGGTACCACCCTCTGGACGAGCTTCATGGGGTCGAGGTCGATCCGCCTGGGGTCGAGGTGGATGGGCTCCATGCCTACTCAGTTGTAACATGCATCTGGGTCGGAACCAATTCATGTAGTCCGGCGAAGTGTCCGCCTCCCCGAGTTCAATTTCAACGGACCTCGACTCCTCGTCCAGACAATACTCCTCCCACCGATCAGAGAATCGTTCGCCGTACGCAACGAAAATTGAGTTCTGGACCGGTCGACCTTTGCTAACTAGAGCTTTGTACATATCTTTTGACATGTATGCACGACCTGGAATGATTTGCACCCGGTTGAACTGCCTCAACACTCTGTCCGGATGATATGCCTCGAAGTGGTCCATGCAACATATCATCCCACTAAACCAAGCAGAATCTGGCATCGGGAAACGATCACGAATAGCCGTATACGGTGACCATATAACCTATTAAAATAAATAAAAAATTAGATGTAAAAACCTACTTAAGTAGTAATAACAAATTATTAAAGTGGTATGTTACCTGATCGGGGATCAAATCATCTAATCGAGATCGCAGGTACGACGCTCGTTCAGGCGTTGAAGTAGTCTTTGACTGAGGCTCCCATCGGCTCGCTAATGGCCCCTCGAATTCCGTCTTCAATGTGCCACCCCCCAAATAAGGAAAGTGCTCGTAAATCCATGACTGAAAGAGCGTCAGCCAGCCAGCCATCGAGTTCGTTGATTTTTGTGAGGCTGAGGAAAGCTCATCGTACAACCGGCAAAGACATGCAGTGCCCCAAGCATACTCGCCGATCCGATCCAAATCAGATACAAGATTTAGGTACTCAACGCTTACCATGTTGCCTGTCTTGTCGCACAGTATAGTACACCCGAGCAAAAATAACAAATACGCCCGAATGGCGTATGTCCTCTTCTCCGAACTATCTCTCATGGTCACTTTGCTAAATTTAGCCTTCAACCATTCCAACTTGACCGCTTTCTTCTTGTTTACATCGTCCGGGTACTCACCTAGCAACTCGAACATCAAAGTACTGGGAATGGTTTTGGAATCACGGACCAAACGCTCGCAAGATACGGTACGTCCAACAACTGGCAAACCGACCAACGTACTCACATCGTCAAGTGTGATGGTCATCTCTCCAACAGGTAAGTGAAATGTGTTGGTAGCTGGCTGCCATCTCTCTACGAAGGCTCTAAGTAGATGGCCGTCCACAGTGTTGTACGATGCCTGTACAACTGACATTAGACCACATCTTTGTACTACCTCTTTAATAAACGGCGCCGGCTCCCAACCTTTCAAAGTTGTTGTGTGATTTCGTATTCGAAATTCTGAGCCGCGCTCCGAACGATCTGGCCCTCCGTTCACAATATGATAAGCAATGTGCTTATCAAATTTTGTGTACAATTCCGGTATCTCGGGACCTAGGACCGGTTCATTGCTCGAATCACCAACTTGTACAGTCGAATGTAGAGCCGGCACCGGATTCGTTGACGAAGAACCCTCTCCAGACTTCTTCTTGGTCGTGGTCTTTTTCTTGGTCGTGACTGGTATGCCCTTGCCTTTATCGGATAATTCCTTCCTCTTTTTACGGTTCGAGACAGTCGGAGGTATACGAGGTTGACGTGGTTCTTCCACTACAAAATAACACACAAATAAAAATTAATATACATAATATAAACACAAGCAAATAAAAATAGGAAAAAAAAAAAAAAAAAAAAAAAAAAAATTATCACAGTTCAAATTCGACAGCAACCTGTCGAAATTTGTTTGAATTTTCGACAGTTAACTGTCGAAAATTGGTTGAATTTTCGACAGGTTGCTGTCGAAAATGCAACCCATTTTCGACAGTTAACTGTCGAAAATTACAAAATCCAAACTCAACCCTTTCACCATTTTCGACATCTACATGTCGATTTTGGATGAATTTTCGACATCAACCTGTCGAAAATTCATCGAAAATCGACATGTACAGGTCGAAAATGGTGAACCAAGAACCGACCCACGAATCTCAAATCAATGCTCAAATCGACTGAAATCAGATGCACCCATTACTAATTAACGATCATTCTAACCTAAAACAACCAAATCCTAATTACCCATATCAAACATTCAAATCTTAAATAAATATTAAAGAAAAAAAAAATCGAACAACTATAACTTACTATTCGAAGACGACGACGGCGGCGGCTTCGGGCGACGTTGGGCGGCGTGGGCGGCGTTCGGCGGTGTTTGGCGTCGGCGTCCGGCGGCGGCGATGGTTGGAGCGGCGGCGGCGGCGTCGGGCGGCGTGGACGGAGGGAGTTTTTTGTGTTTGATTTTTTTTTTTCTTTTTTTTTATTTGGTTTTCAAATAGGTAATTTCAAAGAAAAATTGATGTAATTAGTATTTTGTATGAAATGGTATTTTTGTACTTTTATTTTTATTTTGGTATTAAAGTAAGAAAAAACTTAAAAATATGTACTCAATTGTGGTTTTCAACTAGGTAGTATTCAACTAAGCAAAAATTAGTATTCAAAATAGTTGCCCCCTAAAATAAAACCAAGTTCCCTTCGATTCAAAGATGAATTTTAGACGACGTCCTTCGATCGATCATCATTTTTTGTAATTTGCGGTATGATTGTTTAAATAATAAAATAATTAATCAGTTATCGTTATTGAAATTTTGGTATAATAAAATTAAGGGTTAACTGCAAAAAATCCCCTAAACTTTGGACGTTTTTGCGCTTTACCCCCTGAACGGAAAAAAGTTGCACGGGCATACCTGAACTTCACTTTTCTTAGCACCGGCATCTAAAATGTCTATTTTTGGCCAAAATTGACCGGAATTCAAATCACGTGCCTTACACGTGGGGGTAACTTGGTCATTTCCATTTTACCCATTTTTTTCCTTTTCTTTTTAATAAATATAAATAAATCTTAAAGAGGAAAATAAAAAAAAAGTTCTTCCGTCACCATCATCCCCAACCATTCTTCCCGTCACCACCAGCCCCAACCAAACTGCTCTTCAACCACAGCCCTCACCCGCCGCTGCTTCACCTCCCTCCGCCGCCTCTGCTTCACCGCCCTTCGCCGCTTTGCTTCGCAACTCGAAACCACATCACACCAGAACATCATATTAATCAATATTTCTCTCTCCCGAAAAAAAGCACCAAATTGAGGATTGTATTGTTGATTAAGTTTTGATTCCAAAAACTCAAATTCCTCGGCGGAATCAAACTTTGATTCAAAGAAGAAAAAAAAAAATTGGTCTTGGGCTGAAATTGATGCACCGCCGCCAGAGGTTTCAATGGTGGAAGGTTTATCCCTTGCTACCGTGTCATATTTCCACGAAATTGGGTTCTTCCATCACTGGAATTCGCCGTCGCCGCCGTCCATTGATTGATTGCGGCGAAGAAAGAGCCACCAGCCGGCGGTCAAATTTTGAGACCGGAGCACCAGCGAAAAACCCCAATTTCTCTGCCTTGTGATGGTGAATGGGGAATGGATTGAAATTGGTTCGATAGTGGTGGTGCGGCGGCGGATCAGAGGTTGTGGTGGCCGGTGGGTGGTGTTTGATTTGTAGAGGTTATGGTTGTTTGATTTGTGTGTGGAGGTGGGACGAAGACGATGGTGTGCACTGGTGCAGCAATATTCTTTTTTTTCTTTTTTTCTTTTTTCTTTTTGTCTTTCTTTCTTTTTTCTTTTTAGTTTTTTCATTTTATTTATATTTATTAAAAAGAAAATTAAGAAAATAGGAGTAAAAGGAAAAGACTAATTTACCCAACTATATTCACGTGTGAGGCACGTGATTTGAATTCCGGTATCTTTTGGCTGCCGGTGCTAAGAAAAGTGAAGTTCAGGTATGCTCGTGCAACTTTTTTCCGTTCAGGGGATAAAGCGCAAAAACGTCCAAAGTTTAGGGGATTTTTTGCAGTTAACCCTAAAATTAATTATAAATACCCAACCAAAAATATAATATGCCACCATTTAACCCTTATTTTCTTCTTTTTTTTTTGTATTTGAATAACCGCCGTCACATTGTAATTTACAGTTTACCCCCATATCTAAATTCCGAGCTCTCCCCCACTCTCCAATGGAGTTACAGTTCTAGAGCCCACACCCCTATTCCCTTTCTCATGTAATAAAATCCATTTTTTCCGCGCTTTTTTTATCTCACTACTACTGATTCAATGTATTAGACCTATTTTTCTTCAATTGCCTACATTCTCTAGCTAGGGCCAAACCACAGCCAGCTGTAGATAGAGAGAGAGAGAGAGAGAGAGAGAGTGAAGAGAGAGAAATGAGATTTCAGTTCCAGCTCCACGTTTCGGATCCAGGTTTTGCTGCGGGTTTTGTTTTCTAAGAGCAATAATTTGTACTTCGGGGAAGAAAAAAAACGCAATTCGCAAAAAAAATGAGGGTTTTGGGGGAGTCGTGGTGTTTCTGCAATGGCGGCGGCAAGTCGGAGAGAATGAAGGCCGCTATTTTCTCCGGGAAGGCTCCGGCTATGGCCAGAATCAACGGCGGTGGAACCGGCTTTTTGATCCATCGGAATCTGCTTCTCACCACCCACGCTAATCTCCCATCAGTCGCTGCCGCTGAATCCGCCCAGATCCGACTCCATAACGGCCTATCCGCTGCCCTTTTTCCTCACAGGTTAGTTTATATACCATATTTTTTAATGTAACTGAAATGTGTGTGAACTGATAATCGTTTTCTCTTCAATTTTGTAAGATGTGGGCGGAAAATTTGTTAATTAGGTTTTGATTGAATTCGGATCTGATAGGTATGGAAGGATTTTTCCCCATCATTATTCCCAATTTGATTATGGGTTTCAATGATGGGCCTCCTGTTAAATGTCTCCTTCATTGTGTCCTAATAATTGATGTTCGTATACGTTATTGCAATAAAGTAAATTCTACGAAAAGAATAGTGAGATTAATCAGAACAGTAATATCAATTTATAGCGAGACTCGGGCTATAATCGCAGCATCTTCTTAGCTTGTTATTATTGGTAATTTATTGGTGCTTACCAAACACATGAATTATTGATGCACTACTGCATCATGATGCATTGAAGACAGCTTGCTTTATTTATGAACTTTGCACTGTTTATGTGACTGATCGTACTTTTCACAAACATCAGAAAAATGTAATAATGGCTGCTCACCTTTAACCTTCGGGTTTTCGGGTTTCGGTTTCGGTTTCGATTTTGGTTTTGGGCTTATATGAATGTCTTCTGTGGTGAGAATGTGATTAGCACTTTCAGAAATTTTGAGTGATAACTATAAGCTTGTTTAATTTTGCTCTCCGGAAATATGCTTCTTGTTATATATATACTGGGATTAACTCTTGTAAATTAGGTTATCGTTGTTAATTAGTAGAACTATCATTTTTCACCTTCTTGTCCTTGATAATAATAGCCTATCGTAAGCAAACTGTTCATTAACACAATAATCCTCAGTAGAAGATATAATTTCAAATGTTTTCATATGTGCTAATTATAACAAATACGAGGACTGAAAATGCAAAAGTGCTCTCGACATTGATATATTATAGTTTCTTTTCAAGTTGTTGGTTAAGATAATGATGAAATGCTTCAACCTAATTATACTTCATGACCACTGGACATGTGGATAACCTGTAAGCAAAAAATTAGCTCCAATTAGTGATTATAAGAAAGAAAGGAAAGGAAAGTGAAAAATCAAATAGAGTGTGCACCCATGCTCCAATTAGTGAATTCTTCCTCTCTAACAGTAATATCTTCGATTTGATTCAGGTTCTTTATTACAAGCTCCGTTCTTGATCTAACCGTTGTGGGCCTTGATGCTTTGGATGGAGAGTCAAACACACCCGTACAACAACCTCACTACTTAAAAACATGTCCAAAGCCAAATCTTGAGCTAGGAAGTATAGTCTATCTCCTAGGGCACACTGAAAAGCAGGAATTGACAGTCGGTGAAGGAAAGGTAGTAATCGCCACCGATAATTTGATAAAGTTGTCCACAGATGGAGTAACATGGAGCCCTGGTTCTGCTGGTTTCGATGTTCATGGCAATCTTGCATTCATGGCCTGTGATCCTATGAAGCTCGCAACTTCTCCAAACACTAAATCCTCTTCAACTTCATCATCTTCAACATCATCTTGGAAGAAAGACTTCCCCACACAGTTCGGTATTCCTATTCCTATAATCCGCCACTGGTTGAGCCAGCATTGGGAGGGAAACCTGGACGAACTCAACAAGCCAAAACTACCCCTGATAAGGCTGATGTCGTCTTCTGCTCAGAAAAGCGAGCATTCTTGCGCGTCTTTCACAATGCGTCAGGTTTTCAAACCGACATTAGGTGAAAACGAGGCAACACCAACGTCGTCGAACGTAGTGCCGAGTTCGACAGCTGTCAACATCTTGGAAGATGGCATATTGACAGCTGGCGGGGCCCCACATGTGGCGGGAATCCCGACCCCGGAAATTTACGAGTCACCGATGTTGACTTCGGTTCCGGTTAGGAAAAACGAAGCGGCTCAAATTCAGCTTTTGGACATCAATTTTCCACCAAGGTTGATTGCTAAAGCTGTGTCTTCACCTAGACAACAGCCAAGAGAAACTCCGCCCGGTTTTGATCGTAATTACGTGAATGACCGAGGGCAATTTGGTCAAAACCCGGATGCAGAATCGACGGGGTCTGTTAACGGAGCCGAGAGCGAAGTTCGATCAAGTTCTTCACCTGTTGAGATTTTGGAAATGCCACATGAATACAGCAGCGAAGGTGAAACGACTATGTACTCTGCTGAAACAGCTGAGTCTCGAAATTACACGAGTCCCAGAGAGGGAAATTTTCATCAGGTTGGGAGAAGCCAAAGCTGTGTGAACTATAACAACAGGTGGGGCCCGGTTCAGAGAACCCCGGTTGCCCGTGGTGCCATGCTGGAAAAGCACCGAAGCTTTATGCAAGGAAGGAAGGTGTATTCACAGGGTGCGACTTCTCAGAGGAGTAATGACTATTATAGCCCTACGGTTTCTTCGATCATGAAAAAGCGGAATAATTTGGAGCAGCAACAAAATAGGCCGCGGCAAAGTGCTGTCCATACATCTCCAAGATGGAACTTTTAACAATGAATCATCGATCGAAGTTACTTTTCTGATACCCTACTCTATACGTGCGAAGGTTGTAACTTGTATGGCTCGTTTTTCTGCCTATACGTGTAAATTAATCAATTCTTAAGGCATAAATGAACAATGTAAAACACTTTTTTTTTTTCGGTTAGCCAAGTATCAAATTGTTGTTTATAAAGGTTTTACACCTTTTGCATCATCCAGCTTGTGGTGGTAGTGTTCGCTGAACGGTTACGAGTGCTGCTGTTAATTAGGGAGGTAATTAATGTGTCTATACCCCCATTTTGATTCTATATTAGTGTGTGTGTGTGTGTGTGTGTTTCTGCAGGCAAGTATGGGAAGCTTGCAGATAGCAGTGGAGACGAGTGGTGATGGAACAGCCATCGGATAAACTCTACCGGGCGGTGGCGGCAAAGAGTTGATCAAGAAAACTATGTGCAACAGGTTAGTTTACTTTTATTATTGATTTCAATTAATTTTCTGTTCAACAAGAAAATAATGTGTGTGTGTGTGTGTGTGTGTTTCCTTGAGTCTATTTATTACTCCCTCGCATCCTAAATAAGTGTTTCTTTTCACTTTTCACAAAGATTAAGGAATTCAATAAATGTAGCTTGATTTTAGGAAAATTACATAAAAATGACTAAAACAACCTTCAACAAATAATGATTTATAAGGTAGAATTAATGTTTAGAGATGTATTAATAAGGTTAAAACAGGAAAAATGCATTTATTGCAGTATTGGAAATATAAAGTGATAGATAATATGGAATAAAAATATTTTTAAAAAGAGACCGTCATTGTAGAACAGATGGAGTAACTTAGAGTGTGTCACATTACATGCAAGCTTGGTTCATTAATAGTGCATAATATAACGGGTTCGACCCGCCAAACCCATACCCGAATTTAATGAGTTCGACACACCAAACCTATTAAATCCATCAAATAAATCTCTTTAAATATCATCGAAATATTTATTTAATTTCTTAATTAATTATATTCTCTGTAGTCTCTAGAGAATATAATGTTGAAAAGCAACACACTTTCCTTCTTTTTTTTTTTCCTTTTCTCGGAAATAAAATTGAGAAACAAAATTGGTATTGTGGGACACTAATTGGATTCATACGTAAACTATTTAATTACTTGTTATAATATTTAAATATTTATGTTAATAGATGTCGACGCTTCCAATTATAATATCAAGAATCTGGTACAGCGCCGTATTTAATTAGTTCGAATTAATATATGGGTAATGATATACGCAGGCCAAATTAAACATTCAGGCACTTTTTTACCATGATTTTTTACCTTTTTACCATAACTATTTACCTTTTGTACTATTCCTATCCAATTAAAAATATAAAAAAAAAAAAAAAAAAAAAATTAATTTTTTGTGCTCGTGCAAAAACACACGAGCATTTCAACAGTGCTCATCTGATTTCACACGAGTACTGTTGAAATGCTCGCATGTTTTTGCACGAGCATCTTATAATTCTATAAAAAAAATTATATAAAAAAAAAAAAAAAAATTTAATCTGCTCGTGTAAAAACACACGAGTGGATGAAATATGTTCTTAAATTTTAA